GAAAGAGAGCTTGCCGATTATAGGAGCTCTGCCCGCCAATGACAAATGCGTCCTCTGATGCAGGAGGCCTTGCCGCTGGCTCACTCTCACAGACACATGCAAGCTGAGTGGCATTTCGTAGCCCTGCAGATCAAAGGACAGATCTGGAGCCTCAGGGTTCAGAAGCCAAGAGAAAGAGAGAGATGGAGGCCCGTAGGCAGATCATGCCAGCATTTAATCACACTCCAGACAGAATCGGAAGAAAAGAAATGGAAAGAGAGAACGAAAGAAAAGAGGGACAAATGGACATGCAAAAGCTGCCCAACCCGTTGTCCTTGCTTCCTATTCCCAAATAACTGTACAGAGGGGAGTTTATGCTCATGTTTACCTTCATGCTGTCTTCCACCTCCATATGTCCCAACAGTTTTCCGTTGATGCTGAACACACAGAAGTGGCCCTTGTCATAATAAATGACACAGTGACCCTCGGTGGAGGACACAACCAAACGGGGCCGCACGCAGCCGTCTGGACCCTCCAGAGTCCTCAACAGGTCACCGTTCATAGAGTGGACGAGACACGGACCCTCTGTTGTCAAACACATATAGACACACGAGGGTCAAATCAGACAGAATTACAGAGTGTTGCTGCACCTCTTGTGCTATTTAGGGCTTAAAATGGTCATTTTCATATTTCTTCAGCCACTGACATATTTATTATTTCCAGGCCAAAAAAACATCTTATTCAGGAAGCCATGTTTAGAGTAAGATTGCTAGCCTCATAGACAATTCTTTAGTCCAAATAGTTAAGTGTCTATTCAGGGTACAAATATTTTCATAACTAGCCCCTAAAGTTGGAAAGAAAAAAAAGGTAAAAATGTAGAGATGGGTTACTTGCACTAATAAAAACATGAAGGTTTTTATTGAATGATCTAAAAATATAAGCTTTGAACAACATTGGCTTTTTTTCTTCTTTAATTTTTAAGTTTCTAAAAACAAAAATTAATGATTTTTTTTGTTTTGAGTTTTGACTTATTTTTGGTCTTCTGTCTTATGTACCTATAAATTACCTGCAGGTGTGCGAGGGTAATTGTTGATTAATTTTTAAGTTTTTGTCATTATTAAAATGTAAAATATTTAAATTTTATTCAAGTATGGTAAGACATTTTGCTCATTTTAAGGAACTCATTTGACAATGCTGATTACGCAGGAAAGTTTTGTAAAGGTAGATTTATATGTGTACTGTACATGCAAAAACATAAGTTTGACCCAGAGAGCACAATCAATCATAGTAAGTAAACAAAAATAAATATAAACAATAATTAAAAAAATAAAAATAGTAATTAAATAAAAAGTAATAATTATATAAACAATAAATAAATATAATTACAATTTTAAAAAAGCTAAAAATTCTTAGTAATTCAAACATAAATAAATAAAATAATATATAAATAAAAAGAGTGTGTTTACCTTTGCAGCCACTGATGACCAGTCCCAGCTCTGCACACACACTCGCACACGTGACTTCACAATCATGACCCGTCAGGATCGTCCGAGGAGTCACGAATTCTGCTGGAGAGTCACACACAGAGAGTTAATGATACAATCATAAAAAAAAGCAATCACAAATAATAGTTATCACAATCACTACATCACACCATGAATGATATAATAGCTGCACTTCCTTATTTAACACTGCTGTCAATTTCAATGTCAAAATTAGTTTTTTTATTTGTTGTCTACTCCGTGATAATGTAATTAGAGTGTGTAATCACTGCAGTGATGAGCTCTGCTAGCATTCATGTGTGTGTGCTTTCTGTCCATATCACACACACACACACACACACACACACACACACACACACACAAACACACACACACACACACACACAAATACATAGTTTGGACAAGTTATGGGGGGGTTTGAACTGATTCCTGCAAAGTTTCCTGATTATCTTGATATGACTGAAAAAAAAAATCTTTGAAATTTCATCTGATAATATTACTGGATAACATGGCCTGTACATGTGTTACAAGAGAGATTCAGAGATTCAGTTTGATTTCACTTTAGATGAAGGTCTGGCTCTTAGGTTCTTTAATGCCACTGATGTCAACCATCAACCTACAGTCATATTTATCTTTAGATGCTCATTACCCAAATCACAATTAGTCATAAATCCTGCCCCATTTGTAGAAGAGCACTTAACAGCATGTAGAGCATCCAAAAACTCCAAATTAGCAAAGGGGATGTGTGTGTTTTTGTGAGTGTGTGTGTGTAGAGGGCTTTGATCAGCACTGCAGCCATATGGTTAGTGTGTGCAGGGGAAGCCCGTGGCATTTTTCACTTTTATTGAGTGTTCTCTCGCTCCCTCTTATAGATGGGACTGAACTCTCCTGAGCCGGAGACCTCCGAGTCACATTTACTGTCTCCCTCTGTGGCCCTCTGGCCTCTACTTTCACCAATCTTCTGAGCAGAGACCTGCTGTGGTCAGATGAAACTAGTTGTAGCTTCTGAGAGTGAGCCGTAAATCATTACACCGGCCTTGACAGACACACACTGGAATGTGCATGCATGAACAATGTGCTTTTAACACTGTTGCACTGCACTGATATCATCACCTGCATGAAGGCTTTTTCTATGTGTGTTTGCTAAGTGCTGGTTGGGGATTTGGACTCTGAACGTTACCCTGATCTTGACCTCTCTATGTGAGGAACATGAGGAACTCTAGAGGCTCTTCTGAGCACCAATGCTGATGAAACTAATTATTCAGACATATTTTGGAGCCTTCATTAAAATAAAATGAAATGACACGTGAGGAACACAAAAGGAGTTACTTTGCAGGATGTTCAAGCTGCTCTTTTCCAGGCAATAAAAGTGACACCCATGATCAGTACATGACAGAATTTTCACTTTTGGGTCTGTATGTGGCTTAACATTTACAACTTACTCCCAGGGTTCTCTCCAATGCTGCTGTGCTTGCCGTTCCAGTACCAGAGCAGTAATGTGGCATCTCTGGAGCCGGACAGAACGTAACAGTCTCCGCCAATGTATGACTCTGAGCGCGCCAGACAGGTCACCACATCAAGATGGCCAAACACAATCTGTGTCAGTTTACCTGTTAACACACAAACACATAACACAGGAACTGAAACGACTTACAGCAGTGTTTGTGTATGGGATGGGGGGGGGTATGTACAATGCACAATATATATATTTGTAATTATTTTTTTGCCTCCATGATTCAAGGTCTGATTCTGGAGCATATCTTCATGGGGCCAGCAGTCCGCAGTGCAGAACTCCCTGCAGGCTGTGAGTGAATGACTCTACTGAGATGATGCTTTCTGTTGAGCTGTTTACATTCACCAGATGAGCTCACACACTCCCCAATTCCTTTAATAGCTGCTTTTGGAGTGCTGCATGTGCATGCTGACATCTGTGTGTGTGCATAAGAAAATCAGCAAGCATCTATCTATCTATCTACTGTATCTATCTATCTATCTATCTATCTATCTATTGTCTGTCAGTCTGTGTGTAGATCTCAGAGCTTGGGAGCGTTTGTGTGTGGAGTGATTCTATTGAAATTCAAGGTCCGCTTGCGTGACTTGCGTTCTGAGCCTCATGCTCCCACGAGATGGAGTCACGGTCCATCCATGAGATGAGAAAGCTATCTGAGCCCCGCGGCGATGGAGTTGTAATGCAGTCTGCAGGCTCATTTGTGACTTTTGACCCTTTCCTTTGTGTATTGCAGTGGAGAGGTGCTGGTGGGGGGATGGGGTCGTCGCGGTTACCTGTATCAGTGGAGTAGATGCGGAAGCTCTTGTCCCAGAAGCCACAGAGCAGCAAGAAGCGGTTGTCGGCCGTGATGATAAAACACTGAGCATTTACCTGGATGCTCTGATCTAACAGATCTGAGATCTGCCTCCTGTGAATGCCCACATTATTGGCTGAAAACAGAGAGAGAGAGAGTCACTGGTTAAAGACTCACTTGTTATACAAAAAATGCAAACACAACTTTTTGCTTAGAAAATGATTGGGTAAAATGGAGAGAAATATAAACAGCTTAGAAAAATAAGCTCAAGACAGTCACGGAGCGGCAGAGACATTAACAGAGGTTGAAAAAAAAATAAAGAGTCTTGACCCTAAAGGTCTATTCAAATGTCAAACCTCTTAAGAGATTATAAAGATGTTAAAACTATTAGAATGAGAAAATATGACATTTGTCATGAATACTGTGCATGAGCGCGTGTGATTTGTGAAAGAGTACATAAAACAGCAGAAGACAGAACCGGAAAAAGCTTTCACATTTTCCTCTTACATAAACGTTTGAAAAACAGACCCTTTGGCAAAAGAAAGACTAAAATAATCATAAAAAATTATGTGACCAAAACGCTGTAAATTACATGTATTTTTTTAAACACATAAGACAGAGAAAGGACTACACAGAGTCAGGTGTGAGCCACACACCAGCGCTGCGTCTGTCCTGGAGCAAGTGGACAGATTATCAACAGCACAGTCATGCAGAATTTACTGTGTTTAAATGTGTGAGCTGTGTGCAATGCAGTCCGTCTAAATACATACATGACATTCTCGAGAAGGAGTGAAAGAAAATGAGCCATGAAAGATGTCTCTCCCCACGCAGAGAGACACAGGAGGGAGAGGGGAGTGAGATTTGTTGTTTTTGATACATCTTTTAAAAATGCAGCTTTAGTAAGACATTTCCTACATAGCTGCGCCAGTTTCATGTATTTTGTATCACTCTGTGGTCTCTGGCTTCTCTTACAATACAATTAAACTTAAATACCTTTTGGTAGGTAAAAATTCAAGCAAGTCCCTAAAGTCATGTTCCAGCACAGAGTGGAAAACATTATCAGAAAATCAACGTCCAATTAGGGCCAGTGGTTTTGAAACCAAATGCGAAATGCGTTTGAAATAATTTTTTGGTGTCCATATACGTTTGGTATGGAAGCCCATTTCAGCCACTGAACAAAAAATAAAAAAGATAATTGCGACTTTTTATCTCACAATTCTGACTTTTTTTCCTCTGCAATAGCAAGCTTATATCTTGCAGTTCTGACTTTTTTCTCAGAATTGTGTAATATAAGCTCATAATTGCATGATACGAAGTTGCAATTGCGAGTTATAAAGTCAGAATTGCATGATATGAAGTCGCAATTGAAAGAACATTTTTCCTCACAATTGGACTTTATAGCCTAACTTGCAATTGTTAATGTATATCTCACAATTCTTAGAAAATAAGTTAGAATTACGGGATATAAACTCTTAACTGTGAGAAAAAAAAGTCAGAATTGTGAGTTTATTTATATTATATTATTCCTTATACATTCAAAACATACATGATAAAATTACTTACATTTATTAACATTAATTTTTCACAATATTCACTCAAAATTCACTCAAATACCTGAAATCAGAAACTGTGCATTATCTGTTTACTATTTGTAAAAAATAATTCTGGAAGCTGCTCAAGTTGACACATTATCAGATGCAGATCACTTCGAAATAAACTGAAGCGTGAGAGGATTATTTGCTCTAGTTTCAACTGTTTCAGACTCTTCACAAAAATGGTACATAAAACGAATTTCATAATGATTTTGAATTGCTGAAGGCTTAAATTCAGATTTGATGAAGTAGTGAATGACAGAGGTGGAGGTGTAGAGAGAGAGAGTACAGGTAAGGCGAGACATATGATACTGTATAATAATAAGAAAGGCAGGAGAGCTGAGATATAAGATGAATAGGTGGAGAGAAAGGCTTCAGCCATATGTTATCACACATCTTCCCTCTCTCATCCCTTTATTCCTCATCAACAGGTCGGAGGGATGAGAGGAGGACATATTGTCCTGACAGCGCGTGCCACGCGGCTTCAATCAGACATTATTACACCATTCATATTCATTCAGTCTGACAGGGCAGAGAGACAGAAAGAAAGAGAGAGAGAGCTGATGAGGTACAGGCTAAGCCACAGCTCATTGCTTTCCAATTTGCATGCAAATGCTGATCTGAAGCTGGGTGAAAAACAGCACTCATCTCCTCCCAAGGGCCGGGCCCTCGCAACTCACAACAGCCAATCACAAATCACTCTACTGACGACTGACAAGCCACAGACCTATCAAAGGGTCAATCTCAACTGGTAACTGGTACTGCTGGTCTTGCATAGAAGCGCTCTGATGACCTGAGAGAAAGAGAGAGGACAGATGAAAAATAGATTTCATACTATGTACCATCAGGATACTTATTCATAGAGGTCAGTCAACAGTCATTTACTACAGCAGACAGATGACAATAACACCTAAACAAAGAACATTGATCTTCTGTTCAAGAAACAAAAAAAACAAACAAACAAACCAAAAAAAAAAACTAATTATAAAAACATGCCAGCATTAATGTACGATTTTGATATTGTCAGTTTTTATCCAGTTCTGGCATCGATAGGTAGGTAAACATACATGCGGAGCTAAATTGTGGTGATGTGCTAAAATCTATATATGCCAATCAGATTTTGCTTAAATACCTTATAAGCATTATGCAATAAGGGTCAAAAATCATACTCATAACTAAATGAGTTATTAATGTGATTGACAGCATGACGGGATTACCATCATTTTGCTTGGCATGTAAATGCCTTTATTCCATTCTTTGAATATATTCAGTGTCTTAAGCTGAGTGCACACTGTGCGGTTTTTAAGTTCTTGTACGACTGTTGCTTGTTAGACTGTACGTTGACAGCTCACTGCTCGCCAAAATGTGTTTAAGAAAGCAAAATCTTGACATTCATGTACATTGACATGACTGACATTCATGAATTCATTCATGTACATTGTGACGGCAACAATTTAATATAAATTGTTAAATATGGTATTTTTGAAAATAAAATCATCATATATGAAGAGAAAGTTTACGCCCTGACAAGCACCCTTCCTCTTATTATGGTGAATACCTCGGAGCTCTTCTTACAATAAGATTGATCTTTAATAAATAAATAAATAATAATAATAATAATAATAATAAAAGGATGATTAATGGAGGTGGACAGGAAGAATGACTTATTCAGTCCTTATTAGGGGTGTGATGATAGACTTAGCTCACGAGACGAGATATTTTAACACTTTTTAAGAATTTTAACACTAATATTTTAAGAAATCTTATTCGACTGAAAGCCACAAAATTTTGAATGTTTTTTTAAATGTTTTAACTAATCATCTTGTAATGAATGTCATTTCTACTTTCTCGACCATTGACTGGCTTCTCTCTTGTATGATTTGATACGAGTCTCTTCAGACCTTATAACTGTGCTTGAACTTCTAACTTCTGAATGAAGCATTACTGCGTTAGATGAGTAAAGCACTGAATAGACACTACAAAAATTAGCTTTGGAAAGAAATATTCTGATTCAACTTTGCATTAACAATGATAATAAATGGGTTTAAAAAATGAATATTGAAATATTAAATGATTTAAAAAAAATAAAATAATTATACCAGGAGGTGGCGGCAAATCGTAACGAGTGAGTCATTCGTTCAAACGGCTGATTGATTCAGAAATGAATCAAATTACTCTTTATGAATGGCTCACTGAATCATTGAAGAGTCTAAAATATAACCCAATATTAACTTCTTGTTTGAAAATCAATATCACATTTGCAGTCGCACTGATATCACGAGACAGCCTTTCACCTCAACAAGAAATATTGTCGCATTTTAATATCGCAAGATTTTGTGGCTCGAGATCTCATCACACCCCTACTCCTTATCCATCACCTCGCTGTCTGATCGCTCTTGCTCACCAGTGAGGCCGTGCCACTTGTTGATGGCGAAGAGGCGGTTGGCGGTGACTGTGATGACCGCTGGGTTGGTCAGGCCTGACTGTGTGTTGGCAGCCACGTGGGTAACAGGTGAGTTGGACGGGAACTTGAGTACCATGATGACGTCCTGCTGCATCTGCTCTGTGAACATCAGTGGGGTCTGCAGAAGGAGATACTGTTGAGTCCATGACCACCATCATCAGCGGGGAGCGTAGAGGAAAAGAGGAAGAAAGTGGAAGAGAAAAGTGGAAGCAGGAAGAGAGGAAATTAGGCAGCGAAAGACTGAACAGTGTAAAAGAGCACAAAAGCTGAGACTGAGGTCAGAGGTTATTAGGACAGTGCGTCAGAGTTGCACTGAGTAAATACAGCTGGATAAAACGAAAACTGTGTCCATCATTCATTTCAGGCTGCAAAGCAACAAAATGTGATTTTAAAGGGGGCTGATTCTTTTCTATACCCACTGTATCCTAGTATGTCTCTCAATGTCACCATAAAACTGTTCTCTAATCCAGCCTAACTGTTGTCTTATGTCTGTGACGTCTAATCCTGACATGTGTGTGTTTTTTAGACACAGTATGGAGACACAGGGTTAACTGGTGTGCCTGCAGTAAATTAGACAGACAGCTAGCACCTCTTAAATAGTGTTCAGCCTGTGAGTGCCATTAAACAGAGGATCTACTCTCATTAAACTACTGGAGACATGGGAGAGGGAGAGAAAGAAAGTACAGACAGAGAGAGAAAGAGAGAACGTGTATAATGTGTATAATCCAGATATAGGATTGCATGAAAATTACATGTTAATTCAAAAGAAGAGTCTTGTCTTGTCATACCATCTATCTCAAAATGCTGCTTTTGTTGCCTAATAAAATAGTTGTACAGTGGGGATTGGGATTGTTGTTTTTTGTATATCTTTGTATTCTAATTGAAGATATGTCATTATAGCAATGCTATGAATTCAAACTGAATGATTTCAATTAGCCTATAAGCTTTCATGAAAAGTGAGGATGTCTAAAATGTACATCTAATTCATTGGATTATTGAATAATGACAACCCAATGAATTATTATAAGAATTCAATTTAAAAAATAAAACTAGTAACAGCATGCCACTTGAGGTGTACCTCAAAGGTCTAATTTTATCTTTTCAATTCAAAAGAAAAACGATCATTTCTAAATCTAAACACATTAATGTGTCCACAAATCCTTCATAAAAAAAACAAAAAAAAAACATAATACAATATTAATATTCAACATAATAGAATTATTCAACACTATTTCCCAGAGACACAAAGGCCTGGTTTCACAGACAGGGCTTAAGTTAAACCAGGATTAGGCCAGAGTTCAATTAGGACATTTAAGTATCCTTTATAAACGTACCTTAAAAAAAAGATTACTGGTGAGCATCTTGAGACAAATCAATAACACGGACATATTTTAAGATCTGTCAGTGCAAGTTTCTTTCGGTTAAAACAGCCCAGACATGCATTTTAGTCTGAGACTAGGCTGTGAAACCGGGTGAAAATTAGATAAATTATTCCCATAACTTTTCTGATTAAATCTCACAAATGTTAATATTCAAACGAAATGACAAAATTAAAAATAGTGTAGTCATTCATCAAGTGTTAAAATCAAACAATCAAACAAACAAAAAAAAGTGCATCCACAACCCACAATCATTAACCAACAATTCAACAAAGTCTTCCCTCTGTATCAGATCTGTTCAGAGAGTGATGTTTTCTAGCATTTCACAGTGCTTGGGAAGGGATTGTGTGATTATGATGATGTTGTGTAGTCAAACTGTTTAGTATCACTGTTACGAAATGCAGTTCTGAGCCTATAACTATATCTGCATGTGGACATTCAGAGGAGAGTGTGTGAGTTTTTTCCCCACACAGGCAGGCAGGGGCTGTCATCGCCACAGAAACACACAGCTAATGGGGCTTTCTAGACCGTCACCCACAGTCTCTTAGTTTCTAGACTAAAGACCCTATCACCTCAGAGCTCTATGCTCAACCACAAGACTTTTCCCACTTCTGGGACCCTTTCTCACTGAAAGAGGACAGGAGAGAGGAGAGCCGTAAAGTGCAAAAGAGTTGATTTAAGCAGACAGCTACAGTTTCAAACCCGTTTTCCACCAAAACCTTTCTCAGACCCAGACCATTTGAAAGTCGAACTGCCTACATTTCTCCCTACCCTGCCAAAA